GGAGTTGTGCTGTCATGACATTTCATTGTCTGCATTCAATTTCTCACAGGCATTTGAAGTCACTCCTAAAATTCTACCCAATTACTGGGCCCTAGGTTTCAATCAAAAATATTTGTACATTTAATATTTCACTACAAACGTGCTACTTCTGTGCTGGCTTCAATTAAGCTGTAAAGTACTTGTGATACCAAATATAATTCTTTCATAGTTGCAATTCAAAATTATGTCCCAATTTTACTTATACCTAAGTCCAAACAAGCCAGCACAGGCAGCATAAGGGCTTTGATCATTCAAGAAAAGAGTTTACATGTATCTCAAATCAAAGGTGCAGAATTAAGTAATTTCAAGTAGAAGATTGTTCAAACTTAAGTTCTCATGACAATTCCAGAAGTATTACACAGAGGCAAGTAGATCATGGGCAGTTTCAATACTGGCCTAGAAGACACAGCAGTAGACTTGGTCCAAGAATTAACACAGTGTCTTAAAATAAAAGAGGAGTTCTCTTTCGCATAAGAACATTAGCCCAACACTCACAAAACACATTTTCCAACGTGTCATACCAACATTTGCTTAAGTCTCTAAATCAAGCAAACAGGCTGACACGAGCACAGTATGATAGACCTCACATCACAAACATTTGAATGTTGACATCCCACCTGATGAGGAACCTCACAGAGCTCACAGGCCCTCCAGTTTTTACCTCTTCTCTTGACATCTAATCCCAGACAACACAGTGCTCCCTACTCCCCTGTCCTACACGCTCACTCCCACACTGAGCCACTCTTTTCAAAGCCTGACTCTTCCTCTGCTGCTAATTCAGCACCCACGCTGACACAGCCATGGAGAGCAGGTCTGAGCAACCCAAAGGACTTGAGAGGAAGTGGAAAAACCACTTCAGAGCAGTTTCCTGATCTGTGTGGTCATGTATTCAACTCATGCTATTGAAGAGTGGTTCCAGAGCAAACTGGGAATGGAAAGGCAAGTAGGAAGGATTCCTAAATTGGTTGCCACTTCCACTATTCCTATCCACCAGTTGAAACCACCAGCTGCCTAAAGAAATCAGAAGAACAAAATTGGTAACCCTGGCCTTAAACAAAAATTGAGGAGATCTCATTTTGAAATCTACCCACCTAAACCCTCAATCCACTTCAAGACAGCCCTAAGCACCAGTCTACAAGCAAATAAATAGCAAGGACACTCTCAGCCTCTCTGGCTTAAAGTAGGGCAGCTACAAAGAACACAAAGTCTCATGGATGATTTTATGATTTTTTTCCTGCAATTAGTAATTGCTATGAATCCTAACTAATATGTCTGGAACACATTACTTACGCAGAGGACAGGTATTTGACTTAATACCTACAAATCCATATACCCAGCAAATATACATAGTCCAATTAGCCAGAAACATGATTAACACCAGAAAATCTAGGCTTCTATGACTCACTCTGCGTAAGTGCAAGGATGGATCATTTTCCTTTGCCCACCTAAACATAGCTCTTACATATAAAGGGTTGTGACTTCATCTAATGACTCAACAGCAAAGGCTTCCAGCCTCTGATCGGAAGAGAAATGCTGAAATTTGCATACATAGGAGCTTTTTATTAACTTCACAGCTGTTTCAGTTCCTCTGATCTGAACAATTATCTCTTATCTGGCACACTATGCTGTAAATGAGCATGCAATCATCAAATCTGTCCTTTTGAGTTGTGATGTACTTCAAGACAACCATTTCTTGGCTACTTTTTAAAAGAACTTAACCCAGCCAGGTTTTCTACATCTTAAACATGCTATTCCCACAACTGCAAGATCTCCATGGACAGGTCACTCTTCAGATGCATACAACAAACAGGAGCCCTGCTGGAGGCTTGGTATGGATTCCTACACTCCAACCCTGCTGGCCCAGCTCTGAGCCTGCCTGGCCCTTCACTTCACCCCTCGCAGATGCTCAGGGCAGCAACACATTTGTGTCTGCCCTTTACAGGTGTGTACACACACGTATCTACCTGCCTGATCCCCACGCCTCCAAAATCCTTGGCAGATGTCAAGGGTAGATTTACATGTTATTTAATAAAATTTACCTTTATCAGCATATGTGGTCAGTTCCTTATTGTTCCAAATCAACCAAAAAACCCTTATCTTTTCTAGAAATGTCAACAAGAGACGAAAGAAAAAATAAAAGTTGTCCACACATCAAATACAAACAATTTTTTGTAAACAGATGTTTCTGCCGCAAGCATTTGGGTACAAAACCACTCTAGTCAGTTGAAACACAATTCTAGATGTTTTTTATGTAAGCAGGATTGACCACAAGAAAACTTCTAATGGTTTTGTTCATTCTCAGTACAGTTGGTTGACTGAATATGCAATGTTGATTTTTTGCAGAGCCACAGTTTCCAATCATTCCACATATAAACTGAAAAAGCATTTTGACAATGTTGAAATTGTATCTATCACAATTCCATTTGCAGCATACCTTTACATATCTGTGTACTGATAAACAGAGTATTTTAGTATGTACAGCTCTATAACCAAAACATATTCTGTGCTATTTTTAAAAGTTTCGTTAAAGTAATGGAATTTAAAGAAGTATAGGACACTTCAATCTGAGAATTTGGTTTTTAAATCTGTAATGCAGCCTTTAAAGACCTGTGTTAATTTTACAGGTATAAAATAAATTGTAACCATTCAAAACTCAACCTTCATCTAAAAATGTGAAGCTTCCTTACTTGCCAAGCCAACTCTTACTATCCAACCAGAATGAAAAGATGGGGGCTGAGCTGTGTTTTCAAAGTGTACAACTGTGTACAACTCACAGCTTTTGCTGAGTGCAATGCAAGGAGTTAAGAGTATGTTTTTGGTTTGAAACAGGTTAGTAAAAACTAACTCCAGGGGGGCATGCAGTAAGCTTTATTTGCCTCAGCTTCAAGTTGCTTAGAATTAGCAACATGAAAGCCTTGAGCCTGCTTTTCAAATCAACTATACACTCTGGATGTTTGACTACAATGAGAAATATATCATTCAAGGTTAGCGTTACTCACCACAAAAATTAGGTGTTTCTCTTCACAATGAAGAGATAAAAACGTGAAATCCACTGCTGCTGGAGTAACTATGTTGGTTGTTCAGCTCCAGCTGCCTGTGTTAAAACATCTGGCATGTTTTTTTTTATTGGAACTGAAGGCAGGCAGGTGTTACAATGACTGACACCAAAGCCAAATGAGCCCAGGTCTCAACTCCCAGACCTAACTTGTGGCTGCAAGGTTAGCCTTACCAAACCCTAGACACCGCTGGAATGCCAACAGCTGCCTGAAATGCTCTTTCAGTAGGATTTCCCCTTGCTTTCAGGGCCAGTTGCCACTTAATGGAAAATGACATTGACATACTGTCCATTTTTCACTCTAATACAAACAGTTGGGACAATTATTTTCTAAGAGTTAAAGAGTTATTCTAGCTGTCTCTGAGACTTAACTGGGCTTCTTGTCAGAAAGGGCAAGATTAAAAAAGTCACATGTGAAGAACATATGACTTGCAGATTCTCTAGATCATTTGGTGCAACTGTTTTGAAACAGTGATCCACAGTCCTTCATCCTTCCACAGAGAGCTGATGGGAGACAGTGCTACCTTTGTTTTATTTTAGGGAATAGACAGTAATTTTGTCTAAATCTAAGGCTGATATAATAGAGCAAGAATGAAATTCTGCACATCTTTGCTGACTGCCAAGAGTTTTACAGGTATAAGCCACAAGGAGCACATTTGGCAGTCATTAACTCCACAGAAATATTATTTACTTCTCACAGTACTTTGGCACACAATCTCTGGATTGACACCTGAATGCAGTCCCTTTGTAACAGACACTGGTAACAGCATGCTATTTTTTAGAGTCAAACAGCTCAGTTCTGTAAGGAAATTGCTCACTTACGTCATAATGGTCTGATGGAGGCTCAAGTTGCTTTAGAAATGTCTCTGTCTTTAAATATTAGGACACATGATGCTTGATGCCCAAGTTCCTTGTGATGATTTTTTTTGTGTACATGAAGAGAGACACGGAAAGCCAAATAATTTTAATCTGGGTCTTTGAAAACTGACTTCACTTTTTTTTTTTAACTCTGAAACCTGGCATCATTAGAGCAAAGAAAGATCATTCCATCAACTAAATCCAAATAAATAATCAAAGAGTTAATGCATAATTGCTGTACCCTCTGTACTGAAAGACTCCCTTCAACACACCACCACGTGAATCAGTGACATCAGATGCATTTTTACCACCAGTTACCCAGTGCATTCTTATCTGCTTAAGGCAGACTCCAAGTAGGACATGTTTTGCTCATTAAAAATCACGACCTTCCAATGTGTCTATTAACTCTCAAGTGTCTGTCTGGGAATATAGCAAAAGCAGGGAATTAACAAGGTGAGACCATTGTGCACAATAATTGCTTTGTTCCCCTGCAGAAACAGAAGACAAACTTTTGCATTCAGCAAGAAAAACAAGCTGCAGACTGCAAGGCCTTTGCAAAGTGAATAATCTCAGCCACCTTGTTCCTGCAAACTATTCCACAGCTTTTGCCTCCTGAAAAATTACAGTGAAATTTCCATCCACAACAGCCAACACATTGGGGAGCAAACACGAACTCAAATAATGGCAATTTTAAACTAAATAAGTTCATGCAATTTTCTCCTCTGTTCATTATATTAAAGGTTTCATAGATACCTATCTTATGAACTTTACTAAGAAAGTAAAATTACAATGTTGCATTTCAAAACACCCAAAACCACAAACCACAAATTCCACACATTCTTAATCATCTTTTGCATAAACAAATGTACTAAACTATATACAGCTTTCAAACCACTTCATCAACATAAAGACAAGACAAACCTCAGCTCATACTGGTTTATGAAGTGCAAGACAGACACTTTCCAGACAGAAAACTGGCAAAAGATTCCAGTGACCAGTCTAAATGTCATGGTCACAAATGGCCCACCTCCACCATCTCTGAGCCTACCTGGACTCACTGTGAAGGAGCAATGTGCACTACCATTTTCATTTTCCTCTACCAGACAGTTCTGGGGAGTTCCATGAACAGTTACAGTGTAATCTTTCTTTTCTGTATAAGAAAGTAAACATGGCACGGTTAAAGACAGATTAAAACTGCTTTATGTCTCCTCCTACCTTTACCCTATATAAAGTATCAAATAGAAAGAATTTAGTGAAGAAATGTCAAGCACACAGCTATAGTCCTATGCAATCCCCCTTCCTACTGGAAATTTTTGCTAAAAATGCCATTTAGCAACACAATCAAGACAAAACAACATGGGAGAGTCAGAATTAACTTTTAAAATGAGACAGGGAAGAAAATTTGCCTGTTCTAACAAGTTTAAACCCCTGCTGCACAAAGAGAAGCTGATATTGTTACTTTTCATCAATCAAAATGTTTCCTGCATTTCACCCTTAGTGCACTTAAGTCTGAAATTCAAGTTAAGAGCTTCTGCACACTCTGTGGTATCTAGCTTCTATATCTATATCTGATGTCTCTGTAGTCTGTTTTAAGACTTTAAAGCATTGACACTTTCTAGCAGGTTTACAGGAACACAACAGGCATATTAAAATAGTGGAGCAATTTATAGCAACTTGCCTTTTAAAATATAATTAGCAAAGGAAAAGAAAATCAGATCATACAAAAAAGGATGCTTATTAGAAATACTCATTTTATTGGAAGCAATGTAAAAACATTTCAAACTCAGTACCGGACTGAAGCACAGATCTGTTATACAACACAAAAATTAAGATGTCTGAAGGAGTATATTTATCAGGCAGTTTCTTCCTAGCACTCACTGCTTCTGCAGGTAGAATTGAATCTCCTATAACATATGCAGATACAGGTGATTATTTACATGTATATATCTAACAAAGTCTGTGGGAGAAAGATCCCATATGGGGGAGTTTATTCCAATAAAATATTCCTACAACTAAACTCATAAAGTGGTTTTAAAATAGTAATGCTCCAGACATGTTCTGTTTTCTGGTATTCCCATGGCTAAAACAAAGGTTTATATAATTCAGAATACAATTTCTAGATCCATTTGACAGGGAAATATAGATTTATACTTCTAATAAAATGGAAGGTGGCCTTAAATTGCTGGTTCCCGAAAGGGAAATTGAGAAGCAGAATTTTTTTTTGTCAAGGACACTATTCTTGTGTTTCTGGTGATTAAAATACAGCACCTGGAATATCCTTGAAGCAAGGAAACTTGCCTTTCAATCCACCTGTCCTTTATGATCCCCCCACTTTAAGCAGGCTGGAATAAACCCACTCACATTTCAACCTGACAATGCTGCAAACTTTCTGAAACAAATGGCTGGAGGAAGTGCAAGCAAAGATATTCCTGCAGGAGAAGGTAAAACAGTGCCCGTAACTTCTGCCTCTTCTACCTGCACTGTCCTGGTAATGTTTAAAACTGAGAGATTGGAAAGCTGGAGCAAGTTTTCCTCAGAATGCTCCAAGTCTCAAAATAGAGCACAGTTATCCAATGCAACAGTACTCCCATGTATTTATAGAACTTCTTAAACACAAGAGAAAAATACCACTGAAAGTTTTGTTATTATAGAAGTGTTCTTATAGCCGCTTGTAGTACTGTGGCTAAGGTTAACATAATAAAACCAAAAAAGAAAAGAGAAACACATCACACAAACCAACCAGCAACAGGACTTTCCATTCATAGCAGAATGAACTCATCTTCTAAGCAAAACCACAAGAATAAAAAGACAAAATGCCTTAAGGAAGGCTGAAGGACTGGCATGCACAGGCTGGTATAAACCCACTTGTATTTCAACCTGACAATGCTGTGAATATTCACAATCAACTGGCTCAAGCAACGGCGTGCAAGCTGCCCGAGTGAGGTGCTACTTACTTCAGAATCCTGTAAAAAATCCACTTGTCTGCCTTTACACAAAGAAAGAAGGTACAGATGCAGCAAAAGGGGTCAAAGTCTTCTCAAAATAGTTACTGATAATGCCTGCAGCTCTCTTTGGCCAAGTACTTCATAATTCTTGTTTGAAAGGAGTTTCTCACGTCGGCTAAGATTCTTTTCCCAATAACCTAACACTCACCCACTTAGAAAACAGAAAAGTGACTTCACAAAAGTTACCAAATATCAACATGCATGGCTGGCAAGTACATGTGCAGTCAAGATGATTCAGATAAGTCAGATAAATTTAGAACAGCGCTTTCCTAAAAGCATGCGTTCACCAAATGCAGTAAATATGCAGGAGCTATATCCAAGTGCTAATTCCAAACATCAGAGCAAAATATTTATTAGTGAAAATCTCCTTTTAAGAGTTCGCTGCCATCTGAAGTCCTCAATAGTGTTATTCCTTGATCTGCCTTTAGTATTTCCATCCATCACTGGATTTATCCACATAAAAAGCTATAGGCTCTCCAACCTCTGAGGACTAAGCCAAATGCAGTGTGGCAACTTCACATAGGACCAGCCTTTTATGGTTGGAACAGTAGAGCTTTGATACAGCTAATCTACCATAAATAGCTCTTGAAACTCAGAAGGATCAAATCAGCTGTTGCAACAGCCCCAGCCTGTAGCTGCTTCAAATCCAATTACACTGTCAACTCTGTCTTGCAGCTCTCCCTTTTATTCCCCCCATCCAAAACATTTTCAGTCCGCCTCCTGACGGAAATTAGAAGCTGCTAAGACAAACACAGCAGAATCAAACCCATTAAATAATTTTTGAAACAGATGCACAAGTATTCTTACAACTACCTTAAGGAAGACAAGTTCTGTTCTCTTAAAAAACAGCTTATGTATTTGATGCCCATAAAAAAGAAGTTATCAGCCCCAACTTATAAAGCAAGCACATAATTTAAAATAAGCGAACAGTTCCAAGAGCAGCAAGCACAGCTTTAAAAGGTGGGTGAAACTAAGCAGATAAACTTCATGGAGCACTATCCATGTCCAACATAAAGGTATGAAGCACTGAATTGCTTGCATATTTTTTCTGTAACCTAAATATACTTGAGAAGTACTAGAATACCCTGTTATAAATCCTTGAATTACAATGTTTCCTTTCAGATAGTTAGAACCATTTTCCCACAAAGAAATAGAGAACTATAATTTAAGAATTCTTGCAGAATTAAAATCTTCCAAAATATATGTTTACTAACCATGTAAGTTGGTATAACTGAAAATTACCACTAGGAATACAAGAGCATAGTAATTACTGAGAAACCAGTGCAGTGACATTGTTCTGAGAAAAAAAGCAGGTTTGGATCCAACAAAACATAGGTGAGCAGTATTATCTTCATGGTTCACCTCACAGTGCAAAGAAAGAGTGCACAATGCAAGCATGTAGGTATATGCAAATAAAAGGTTTTTTTTTTTTTTCAAACATATATAATTAACATCCCACCAGTCTTTCCAAAACATTACATCTCAAAACATCAATTACTCCACTGCAGTACAGGAACTCTGGTACTTCAAAGGGGAAGAAGTGTCTTGTGGGCAAAGTCTGTATCTCTACCTCCCACAAGCATGTAAATTCTGAACATTGCCAGGGCATCCTCCCAAAATACTGGGCAGGACATCTACATCTAGGCATCCACCCTTCTTATTCAAGCAAGGTGGAAGAGGATTGCCAATTCCTGCTATGCAAACTGCTTTAAGGGCTTCTAGAAGCTACCCTAATGGAAGGACCAAAATATAAAAATCATCAGCTTCCACTTAATGGAAAATTGTCAGCCACATACCATCTTATTAATCTTCACACTTGTGTTAAGTTTTATAATCTCTGTTAAATGGCCTGGGTTTTAACTGATTTGCAAAGCATGTAACATACCTTGAACACAAAAAGAGTCACTAGTTGCCTACACAGACAACAATACAACAACTTAACAATTAAGTGTGGGTGAGTGAAATGCTGTCTCCTCTAAACTGTGCATGGAGAACCCATCTGGGTCACCTTCTGGGAGTGTCAGTAAAGTCAAAGAGCTATACAAACTGACATTTTTCTCTTTAGGACTAGAAAATGCCCAACTGAATCAATTCAAATACACGAGGGACAGTGAGCATTTCATTAGCTGGAGTAAACTCAGCATGTTACAAGTAGATAAAACAGACCAGCAAGATCTGCCTAAGTTTATCGTTTTGAATAGAGCTTGTAGAATATGTCACATTATGCTTTGGCATTGTGCTGAAAAAAATGTAGCTGAACCAACTGCTGACAAAAGTTCTACAGAGCTCTTAAAAATGCAGCAGGCATGCTTGCAGCTGGTATAGAGAAAGAGCAGCCGAGATCATGCTGCCACAGCACAATCACTGGTGCTTTATGCCCTATCCATAACCATTAAAATCCAAGGTCTTTTATTACTGTGGAATTTGAAGGATGCAAGTTATGACATGGAAACACACCCCCTCTCTAGACTCAAGACAAGGATTGCTTGTTTCTTTTATAGAAACCACTCTACATTCATTCTCCATATTACACAAGAAACTATGTTGAAGATTTCATGTTTGTGCCTAATTAAAAAAAAATAAAAACCAAAAATCCTGCATGTGCTTTTTCATAGAACATAGACTTCCTTGACTACAAGCACATCAAACAGAGCTGCTTACAACATAAATACAGCAGTTTCTTCCTCTCCAATACAAAATTTCAGTAAACACAGAGCAGAGGAAGCCACAGACAATACATTAGTTAACCACTATCCTTTACAATAAGCCTAACATCTAGAATGTATCTTCCAGACACTATCAGCTCCATCATCAAAGAGAGGGACACATCACACACTTTTCAGGCCACGGATTCTGTCCCAGTGATGACAGAAGTACAAATTAACAGACAAGCTTTTGATTCTGAGGTCCTGCTTTGCAGGAGAGGATACGTGCTTCAGTGAGTACCAGTCAAGAAATAACACCAGGGTAACACACAGTGAAGTGCACACAGCGTGCAAAGTCTGGCTTCAGCATTTTCTTATTTAACAATTCAGCTTCCCAGTTTACAGATAGCTCCTTTTCAGCTGGGGGGCGGGGGAGGGGAGGGAGAGACTTCCCAGAAAAAAAAACCAAAAAAAACCCAGACAAATTTAATAAAAAGCGACTTACCAGCATCCATTGTTAGAATCATGACCCCACTTGTGTGTCCCAGGAAGCAGGAAGCCTTACCCATCCAGTGTGTGCGAATGACTCAGAGGGACAGCATGGCTTTGTTTCAGCTTATATCTTCTGGCTCATTCACCCCTCCTCCCTTTCGTGGGATAAAAGTGTTGCCTGTGCCTGACCATCCCCATTGGCTCAGCTAGGGGAACCTACCCATTTAGCACATTCAAGTTTCTGTCAGAGCCTAAAATGACCCACAGAGGATTTTTTATTTATCTTAAAAAACACCAAACACCAACAACGTTAAAAAAATAAAACCAAACCCAACACAAACACTTTCTGTCTTGAAAGAGAAGGGAGAATAAATCATTCATTCTTTCACTATCAGACACAAATTACAGTGATGTTATTGCCACGGGGAGGAACAATTCCCTGCACTCTGAATTGAGGAGAAGGTGGCAAGTCAGGCAGGACAGTCCCACAGTCTCCAGTAATCTCCAGTTTTGCTGCATTGTCTGTCCATGGCAATGAAGCCACACGTTTTGTGCCAAAGCCTGTGCCCACCAACCCAGTTTATCCTCAATGCAAACTGTATATAATCCCAAAATTGAGCATCTCCTGCTTTGCCAGGGAGGATTGTGCTCTTCCATTTTATTTTTAAGTAGGCAGAATAGTAAAAGATTATTGTCTTACTGAAGACTCCTAGACTCTACAGGCTTAACTCTTAGTGAGGAAGATAAAGTGATATTTTCTTAATCTCCAGGATTCTCTAGGTGTAATAATTGCTACAATCTAGGCTCTGCCTGAAGAATTTGGAAAGCTGTTACAATCTGTTTGTGAGCCTCCTCTCTAGTGAGATAATAGTGTTTAAAAAAGAAAAATCTATCTGGTCAAGAGATAGCACAACCCATTGTTACCTTTGATCAAACCACAGGACAGCCTAAAATGTACATTTGGGTGAGCAGCTGGAGGGGGGGAAGGAATTTGTTTTGCAAAATCCTTAAGAATTTGCAGTCAGACCCTCAGAGGGAGGTGCTGTGTCTTGGCACCATAAACTGTCAACAGATTTGATATGTGTCCTTAGGGGCTCAGCAAGCACTGAGAGTGAAACACCGGTGCTCCTTGCCTCTGATAAGAGCTACCTTTTCTAAATAAAGCGTGGACATATTAGGCTACTGTCTCACCACATTACTCACCACCAGATAACCTAAGATTCATAACTCTGTGATACAACCACAAGTGTATTTTGGAAGTGTTGCTTGTGGTTGTTGAAATAAACAGAGCACTCTCTCTCCTGCCTCCATCTGTTTTTAGAAAAGGTATCAGTTGCAAGTCACAAACACGGAGGTTTGTAGACGCCACTGATGAAGCCAGAATCCACAATTCAAAGAAATTAGCAAAAGCAGCACAACTGAATCATCTCTTTGCAGTGTGGCTTTACAGCAACACACTTGAGTCATTACAGTTTGGGGGGAAAACACATTCCTAAGGTTGAAAATGTCTGATATTTTCTGTAGGGCCCTGACATAAAAGCTTTGGGAAGAGGCATGAGTAATCCAGATACCAGAAACAAATAAGAAATCTTTCAGTGATTGGAAATTAGGGACAAGAGACCTGGGTGGACAGGCTGCTCCTCAAAAGTCATACTACAGAAAAAAGTGCAGTGTCAGAACTGAACTGAATGGCTTCATCCAAATTTTACAATTCTCAAATTGTCAGGCTATTGTTTTGATCACAAAAAATAGCTAAGGACATTTGGCAACAGCCATGCAGAGGCCATGTGCAGAGATACATGTTAACGTTTGGGATTGATATCAGGCATAGCTTCTTTCTTACCAATAATTATTAGTCTGAAGAAAAATGCAGCAGTAAGGAAGATGCTTTTGCACTCTTCCTATTCCACCCTTTTTCACCTGACATCTTCATTCAAAATTTCCAGTGGTCTAAATAAAATTCATTACAAAAAAAATCAGTTTTGAGGATGCCTTCAAGTAATGCAATCCCAAAGGCTGGGAGGAACTTATGGAGAAAATAGTATAACACTTGTTTTTACCAACAAGGTAGAAGGGGAAGAACTGGTAGAGGGAAGACCTTTAAGTACAACTAAAGGCCTCAACTCTCTGCACAAGACACCAGGAAAATGCAACATTAACATTCCCATCCTCAGGTAAACTGAGAGTGAGTAACACTGCCAGAGAGCACCAGGCAGAACAGGTCTTATGCTGAACAAATATATTTTAGGAAAAGCATTATCATATGCTGTGTAAGAACAAACCACTTTCCTGTAAGCTTGGCTTTTGCAAGAAGTTCAGTACCATTGTCCTGGGACAGTAAAATGCAGAAGTTCAAGCAAACTGT